TCCACATTATCTAATCTGAATGTCAAGCTGGGGGAGGGGGGGATAAAAAAACTGGCTTAATAAGAACTGGCCTTGTGCATATCAAGATGCTATTTCTCACATTCAATCAGCATAACCGCCTTATGAAATACTGACTTTTTTGAGAAGACAACCGCATATGGCATTGAGTGGTAATAATTGCAGAGCCCTGCCAATTATACATATACAAAACCATCTTGTATTCAAAGCCAAACTAGATGTTACATGCTATGGCTATAAGCAGATCTTGCCAAGTAATTTTCTATGTGGCTGAGGGAGAGGGAATAAAGCATTCCCCATCCCACACTGTAACCCCAATATAAATGGAGACACCCCCCAAACAGATGTTTTTAAAGGAAGAAATTATTTTGAGGATACACCAAAGATTTTTCTACACAAATAACTTTTAATTCGGCCCTAGGGTATGTCATGAGTTCATCTAGCAGCGTACGATCTACAAATATCTCTTTAACATTTCACGCAACAAGAGCCCCCCCCCACTTCATAGGTGTCTCATGGTCCAAGAGGGTGGGACATCTCACCCCTTTGTTTTGAGGGGATGGATCCCACTTGACTTTGGCTATGAGCTGCCCCTGCCCTTCCTAGCACCACTTCCTACAATCTCTGCAGGTGCTAGGGACTGAGATAGATTATGGAGCCTTCCCAACGCTTGCAATGCTATACTCACAATTTGGGGAAAGCTCTATTGAACAGCGCAGAGATTATTTCCAAGTAAACATGCATAACATTGGGGGATGTAATTTTCTTCTCCCATTTCCTCTGGAAAGGAGATAGTATTCAGTATAGCCGTTGTTACAAGTCTCCCTTTTGTACATTCAGAAAAATAATTTTCCTTTCTCAGAGAAATTTGAGATCTAATAATATTTGTAAAGTGGTTCAGGTACTGTCAGATGAAAGGTGCTATAGACATGCAAATTATGGCAGATTCGTCTTCTGTAGATAACTTTAAAAAAACGAGTAGATAGCACAGCCCTAGTTGTGAAAATAGTAAGTCAAATGGACTTCATCAGGCAGAACTGATGGAGCCATACGGCCGACTGCATTCCTATTTCACATGCAATTTATGAGTAAGTAGGGGTACTGGATTTAAAGTCTGGGGATGACTATGAAATAAACTACACTAGGGAGCTAACCTGAAGGAAGAACAGCAGCATTTCATTCAACTCAGGGATAGCCTGAAGAACTTAATGGTCTTTAAAAGAAAAAAAAACCTTCAATTCCATTTTATAGTTAAATATCCCAACTAATACTACTCTGGCTTAAAAATACAGACAAGAAATACATGTTCAAGTTAAAGGAAATAAATCAAAGTTATACTTTCTTTGCATGAATACTATAAAGAACTTACTTCCTCTACATATGACTGTTGAGATATATTATTTAAGGTTAGTCAAGCCAACTGCTAGGTGTTGCATTTTGTTTTCAGTAGAATATATTCAAGTTTTGCCAGAAGTGCAAAACCAACCAAACAAACCATGTCCCTGTTTGGTAAAAGGTTAAGGTTCCCCTTGACATTTTTAGTCCAGTCGTGTCCGACACCAGGGGGCGGTGCTCATCCCATATTCAAGCCGTAGAGCCAGCACTTATCCGAAGACAGTTTCCGTTGTCACGTGGCCAGCGTGACTAGGGAACGCCGTTTTACCTTCCCACCAAGGTGGTACCTATTTATCTACTCGCATTTGCATGCTTTCGAACTGCTAGGTTGGCGAGGAGCTGGGACAAAGTGACGGGAGCTCACTCCGTCACATGGATTCGATCTTACGACTGCTGGTCTTCTGACCCTGCAGCACAGAGGCTTCTGCAGTTTAGCCCACAGCTCTACCACATCCCTGATAACTGTCCAATATTCACTTTTCTTATTCATTTATATTACTTTCAGCTCTTTTATTTACTTCTGCAGTTTAGCCCACAGCTCCACCACATCCCTGGTAACTGTCCAATACTCACTTTTCTTATTCATTTATATTACTCTCAGCTCTTTTATTTGCCCTTATTGCCACAATCACAAGAGGAAATATAGTGGCCTGTATGATGACACACAGTTTACTGCATAATCACAAATTGGATGATTGCATGTGAATAAAGTGAGAAGCACTGACTATTAGCCCACAGCTCCACCACATCCCTGGTAACTGTCCAATACTCACTTTTCTTATTCATTTATATTACTCTCAGCTCTTTTATTTGCCCTTATTGCCACAATC